TACGCGGAAAACCAGCGGAAACCAGCTCTTCCTTGCCCAATGTTTTTCTGGTGTTCTCTCATTGTACCCCAGCTCTGCTCTCAAGGATGTACAGACTGGACAGCAGGGACAAACACAGATCAAGAAGTGAGGAGCTGGAAAGCGGCACACCTTCCCCAAGCACACTCAGCCAGGAGGAAGGAGAGGCAATGAAAATGCACCCATCCAAATTCCTTTGCCATTTGGTTGGCAAATCCAAAACCAAGGCAAATCCAAAGCCAAACACCTTACTCTGCAAGTTCAGCTGTTTTTTGCGCCCGGGGGGCTTTTGTAGGACCAATAGAGCTAGGAAGAAGGAGCTAAAGAGGTCAAGGAGAGGCTTGAGAGTCTGCCCCTGGGCAATTTACTCATAGTTTTTTGTCAGTCCCTGAGCTTTCATGGTCACTAAAGCTTGCCACAAACATAGGAAATGATTTAAGTTATTTCTGCCCTGGGGGAGATTCAATTGGAGGAGAGCTGTGCCACAACATGGTTCTTGCAGCAGGGAGGATGGCAGTTAATTCATTTGCCCCTGTGCCTCTGGCACACCAGGGACCCCCTTCAGTTGGCCACATGTCCAGGCAGATGCTTGGCCCTGCTGAGGAGACATCAGGTTTCGGCCAGCAGAACTGGCCAAGAATGAAGCAAAGCTTCCTTACAATAACCGAGGTTTGGAGGATGTGCCTTGCAGTGAGAGATTTATGGAGTTCAGCCTATTTAATGCAGCAGAGGTTAGGAAGTGACTAGATCATGGGGCTATAAATGCCTCTCCAAACAATAGAGAACGGACACTCTATGACTTCTTAATCTAGAAGGCAAGAGGTAGAGAAATATCTAAGGGCTGGAAGGTGAAACACCACTAACAAAGCAGAAGTGAGGTGACGAGTATGTGTGAGGAAGGAGGTTCTGCATTTGTTCAGAGCAACGGGGACAGCAAAACAATGGAAAAGTTTATGAGGCAAGACAGAAAAAAACCCAGCACTTCAGAGCAGCAATATCTCAATTCAGGTTTTCTAAGAACTAAGAAGCTCCATTTAAATCTCAGTTTCAAGTTCTTTGCTGAAACGAATTTGTCAAATTCTCTGGCTGAGACATGAAACCAATCAGATTCACTCGTCATAAAAATAACTAAGAAGCTCCATTTAAATCTCAGTTTCAAGTTCTTTGCTGAAACGAATTTGTCAAATTCTCTGGCTGAGACATGAAACCAATCAGATCCCCTCATCATAAAAATCCCTCCAGCCCTGGAGCCATCTACTTTACCAGGAAGCAAATAATATATTTCAGGGGCACATGTTTACCCCTATTTTGCAGTCAGCATCTTGGATCCCTCCAAGATGGGGATATGAAGAGCAGGAGGATCAGAGCATGCTGGTTATCTCTTTGGACCACCAAAATGTGACAGCACTACAATGGCTTTCCAGCAACAGATTACATGGAGACAAGACTAATTAGACATTCATTAAGTGCCTAGCTCAGCACAGCACTTAAGTGCACATTTAACCTTCTCTCATTACAATGACACATCATCGTCACTTTTAAAGCTCCAGCTCTGATTACAGTGAAGCCAGCTCACATTTGCAAGGGTCACCAGGATTTTCAGACCTTGATGTCCCAACGTGTTTCAGGAAGCTTTCCCATCTGCAGCTCTCTGGTCTCTTACCCCAAACCTGTGGGAGCCTATTCCAGGAATGTCAACTCGCATTCCCAAAAGAGAGTTGACCTCTAAACATCAGGACCTACAATCCGTCTCTGCCTTCTCCTACGTTGCATGGGTCAGCCAAGGGAGATTTGACGCTGGCCAAAAATATTTCCCCTTCAAATTGTCTTCTCATAGAAAAAAAATCCCTTGTTCAAGCCTTCCTGGAGCAGCAGCTTGAGGTAGATGCAGCAAGGAGGGAAGATGTGGGGGGTGGGCTTCTGCTGCCAATACGTTTCCAAGCGTGTCTTGCTGATCACCAGGACAAGCTCCATGTGCAGCAAGACACCGAAATATCTCCTGCCGCCTCTGCACCCTGACAGATTCTTCCCACTACCGCCCGCTGTAACCTCTGCAATGTCTGTGTGGGATGGAAAGTGCAAAGAGGGTGTCTCACTAAACCCAGGAAGCAAATTTTGGAGCTGTCTGTCCTTCTTCCAGACATTGGAGAAGAGATACTGCAGACAAAGCAGGGTCACTTTGGCAGAGTGACTTGGTGAGGTCCCTGATCAATAACCACAAACATCCCTAGGTACCTGAATCAAGTGTAAACTCATTGGCCATGCATGAAATCAGGCTGTTAATTAGGTTTTTTGAATGTCCCAATAGCTCTGGAGCAACAAGGTCAGTATGCTCACTTTTCCACCATGGCCAGGAGATCCGTGGCCTGAGTTGGGAGCAGAAATTCATCTCCCAGCTCTGCTCTTTGGCCACCAAATCCAATGTCCAGCCCAACAGAGATATCTTTGGGCTGCTCCTGAGTGACTTCAGAGAACAGGGAGAGGACACCATCTAATCCAGCACACAGACCTATGTATGTGTTCTCCACCCTTCAGTATAGGATTGCCCAGGGATGGGGAATGAACCTTTTTAACAGGATCTCACCCACAGACTCCGTGAGCCAAAGCGTGGCTGCTACCAAGGCAGCATCTCATTGTAGCCTCTGTAGATTTGCACCCACCCATGAAAATACCTGGAAATACGCCAGGTGTAGAAGAGGCGCATCAGGAAAAGTCAGACCCCACGTTTTGGGGTGGTATCTGGATGTCTGGCAATTCCTTACATGCCTTGAAAGTCACCAGACTTGTTTAGTACAACATGCGCATGCACCCTTGTTCAAAGCTGAAAGTGTCAAAACAGGCCCAGAAACAACAAATTACTCAGGAAACAGCAGGGGAGAAAAAAAAAATAAAAGGCTTGTAAGAAAAAAAATAATGCTACAAATACAATCAGGACAACAATGACAGCAATAATCAGCATCAGCGCTCGGAAATCAGGAACCCTATCAAAATATTCCACCCACAAAATGCTGTTAAGGGATCGCTGGCTCTCTGTCCAAATTGGATCTCGCCTCCATCTTCCTTATCAAGCCTTCGCAAAAATCAAAACAGACAGAGTGACAGACAGAGCAGCACATGGAGAGGCCGGGCACCCCGCAAGCATCGTTTCTATGTAGATGGCATCCCACCAGAGAAGATGACAATTCTGTATCTTCAATATGGAGCAGATGTGAGCAGCCAGCAAAAAATTATCTCCGCTCTCTACAAATATTTGACACCCAAAAAGGATTTTGATTCAGCCACCTTTGAGCCTCTTTCATATTTATTTTCTGGGAACATTCAAGCACTCAAGCTGGACTAGGAGAAATCTTGACAAAAGCCAATATTAAGCTTGAATGCTTCAGGATTTGCTGAAAATCTTATTTCAAATTTCACCTTTGGTTGCGACGAGAAAGGTCACGCTGCTTTGGGTTGAATGCATAAATCACCCAATCAGCGAACGTAAGGCATGACACATGACTTAACGAAGCTCGCATCACTCCGAGGAGGCAGCCAACACGGTGCTCCTCGCAAGCTGTTCACACAGGAGAAAAGGGCATTGCAAAGAAATCCGAGATCTGGAGAGGGAATATTGCCGTGTGCTCGTAGCCGGGGAGGGAGGCACGGCTGAAGAACTAATTTGCAGGATTTATGGCTGGGCTGTGTGCCTTCATGTATTGATTCACAGATCAGTGAGAAACGAAATCTCCCCCAAAATACACTGACGAAAGCACTAATACCTGATCATATACTAATCTCTCAGCTAAAGCCAGGATGCGGTCTGCGAGAAAATTGTGCTGCACAGCTTGGACCTGTGCCTGGTAACCTCCTTCCTACCGCAAGCAAATTTTAGCCTCCTTCCCCCTGCCTCGAGAAATTCCCCCCCTAAGTAGGGGTGGCTGCAAAAAAACAGGCAAAGAACCCCAAATTCGAGACCCAGACGGATGCCAGCTTTCTTCCCAGTGGCAGAGAACCTTTCAGTCCAGCACCTGAAGAAGAGGAGACCCTGAGGTGGGGGTCAGGCATGGGTCTGAACCTCGCTGGATTGGAGGCTCCCCTCCCCGCCGCCCAGATTCCTATTTAGCATCACACCTCCGCTTTACATAACCTGCCTGCTGGCAGGTGGGATGGGAACTGAGAATAAATACATCAGAGCAGATCTGACACAGGCTCCGAAACACAGGATTCACTGTCCGACCCCCCAGTTTCCTTCTGCTTTGAATGGCATCATACCACCAGTGGAGACTACATCAGATCTTTGCAAAGAGCATTTCCCTCCCTGGATCAGGAGCATCTCACCCTTATTCCTAGCCCTTTTTGTCATGTCACTTCCACCTCCCTAGTCCCTTTCCAGTCCATACCATTCTCAAGATCATCATCGAAACACTGATGAAATACTTGAGATATGAGCCCCAAGCAAAGGCACCAAGTAACCCCATGGAAGCACTGCAGTGAGTTTTCTTTTTGAAAGCCTCCAGAAGGAAAATGAGGCTGAGAACAAAACGAGTGTGCCTTCTGCTGCCGTTCCCTCGAACAAAGCCCAGGAATTAAGTTTTTTTCCCCTGAATTAAGGTAGTTGATAGGGCTGCTGAGTGCAGCTCGCCTGGGGAGGTAACTTGGGTCCTGCCTTTTCTAGGACATCTGTAATTACGTTGGAAAACTACTTGCCCTCAGGTAAGACTCTCCCCTCAGCAGCTCTGAGGCTGCAGAAGTAAAACAAGCAAGGCACAAGCCCTGGGAATGAATGAAATGGTTTGGGCTACATTTAGGGGAAGTTTCTTTGCAATTCCAGTCGCAGGCTCATAAAAAGCGTTATCAGACCCACCTATCAATTAGCAAATAAGGTTTTCATACCAGGCATCCTCAGATTCAGACACAGAGGTGATGGGGACAGTGTGAGACCCGGGAGAGGAGAGTTCCAACCAGCCCTCCCTCCCAAAAGTCCCCAGCCGCCCTCCACTCACCCAGGAACTCCGCTCCGCTGCTGTCCTTGGGGCTGCTCATGCAGTTCTCCAAGTAAATCCCATCCTTATAGCAGTCTTCCTTCTTCCTTGTGAGCCCCAGGATCTCGCTGGCCTGATCTAGGACCTCCCCTCCTGAGCAAGAGCACGGGGTCTGCATAATGCCGCATGGGTGGGAGCTGCTGCTGATGGCCAAGCACGCGTCCAGCCACTTGCAGAGCATCTGGCAAGCAGCTTTGCTAGGGTTCCTATTGCCCACCACGAGGTACTCCACCGAGAAGTCCCTCTCCTGAGCCTTTGTGGGTTTCCACCGCACGGGCCAGCTCTCCACCTCTGGTGGCGCCGTCTGCTTCATCTGGAGGAACTGCTTGTTGGACTGGAGGAAGGCATAGCGGGTGGACCCATCACAGAGCTTTAACACATCATCGAAGCTCTCCATGCCCAGGTAGGTGCGAGTGGACTCCAGGAAGGAATCAAACTGGTAGGTGCGGATGTGCTGGTGGTCACATACGCCGGTAGGTTTTAAGATCTTCATGTACAAGGTGTACCTCCGAGGGTCAGGGTTCTGGATAATCCAAGAGCAGAGAGAGGAGTTCAATGGGAAGACAGCAAAGGAGGAGAAATACCCAAAGAATTTCCCCTGGACCAAAGTGGTGCAGGGAGTTTGTGCCAGGTCCAGAGCGACCACGGTCCACACAAAGTAGAGTGGCGATACCAAAAGCAGGTTCAGGGCAGATCCAATGCTCCTCATCCTAGGTCTCTGGTCCTCTGGAACTCAAAGTAAATGTCAAGCAGGCGCCAGATCCTGGACATAACAGGGACCAGCTTAGAGGAAAAGTGAGAGTTTAAGAGGCTCTGGATCCGAAATCAAGCCAATCCTCCCATGTCTGGATTTGAGCTCCCTCCTGTGGCCATAAACAACACCTGGAAAAAAAGGGAAGGGAAGGGGAGGGGAAAGAAAGAGAAGAGATTTGGGATTTGTTTTTTTCTGGTGATGTTTTGGTTTTGTTTTTTCTTTCATTTATTAACCCTTTGCAAGGCTGAAAATGCATACAGCATCTCTGATCCCAGCACGTCTCTCACCGGGAGAAGATGCAGCCCCACATCACCATTCCCATGCTAGGTTTGGGGGTGTACCCATCCCTGGGATGTCCTAATGCACAGGAGGGGCTCAGCTGTGACTCACAGTGGGTGACAGCACTGCTTTCCCAGTGCCTTCTGCCCATGCAGAGCCCCTCTGCTGAGCTGAGGAGAGCCTTTGCAGCGATTTCTAACCATCTTCCCAAAACAAACAACATTGATCTCTGTTTTAGGAAGTTTCCACACCTCTCCATCCTAACAGAGTCAGAGTGCTGGTTCAAAGCAGACTTCAGGCTGCACCTGGGGAAGGTGGGCTGGAGGTTGGCTGGGCTCTGCCTCCTCTCTTCCTCCTGCCAGGCCTTAGGTTTTTGCTTCTTTCTGTCTCCCTTTTTCTCTCTCCCCCCTCCTCTTCCACCAAAAAGGTGCATGGGAAGGGAATTGTTCACTACCCCAACCCTGGTCTAACTCTGAGCCCAGACAGGAGGGCAGGACTGGAAGAAGCCATGTACCAGGTACAGGAGAAAAAAAAAAGGTGGGATGGAGAGAGATTTTAAGTCTTTACACATCATGCAACCCCCCTGTCTTGCATCCCTCTGAGCAGGACACCCCAAAGCCTGCAATACCACAGTCAGACACAGAGCATCTCCAGAGAGTGAGTCCTTCCTGTCACTCCCAAGACCTTCTTCATTCCCAAAGCCCCTTCAACAAAGGTAATATCCCTCTTGCATTGCCTGATGGAACACACTCCCTGCAACCCTTTGTAGCCCAGATGTCCTCTTCAGCCCAGCCACCCAGACCCCTGTGTCCCTCACCGTGCTGAAGAGACTCCCACACCCTCTGCACTCTTCTAAGTCTCACTCTTTCTTTTCTTTTCATGAGGACCCTTCCTATACTCCCTTCTTGCTGTCTCCACTCTTTCCAGGGGAGGAGAAAGAGGGGGAATCATGGTCAGTAGCAGGACTCCCTTCAATTTGTACTCCCTCCCCATGCAGTGTGCACCCCCATATTTGGGGAGGGGGTCTATTAACAGATGCCGAGGTCGACAAGCAGGAGGGGCAGACCCTCAGTGTGTGGGGCAGAGCTTCTCCCACTGCTGGGTTTAGAGACACAGCTGATTTTCCTTCTCACTTTTCCAGCCACCTCCCTCCCAAAAGTCCCCAGCCGCCCTCCACTCACCCAGGAACTCCGCTCCGCTGCTGTCCTTGGGGCTGCTCATGCAGTTCTCCAAGTAAATCCCATCCTTATAGCAGTCTTCCTTCTTCCTTGTGAGCCCCAGGATCTCGCTGGCCTGATCTAGGACCTCCCCTCCTGAGCAAGAGCACGGGGTCTGCATAATGCCGCATGGGTGGGAGCTGCTGCTGATGGCCAAGCACGCGTCCAGCCACTTGCAGAGCATCTGGCAAGCAGCTTTGCTAGGGTTCCTATTGCCCACCACGAGGTACTCCACCGAGAAGTCCCTCTCCTGAGCCTTTGTGGGTTTCCACCGCACGGGCCAGCTCTCCACCTCTGGTGGCGCCGTCTGCTTCATCTGGAGGAACTGCTTGTTGGACTGGAGGAAGGCATAGCGGGTGGACCCATCACAGAGCTTTAACACATCATCGAAGCTCTCCATGCCCAGGTAGGTGCGAGTGGACTCCAGGAAGGAATCAAACTGGTAGGTGCGGATGTGCTGGTGGTCACATACGCCGGTAGGTTTTAAGATCTTCATGTACAAGGTGTACCTCCGAGGGTCAGGGTTCTGGATAATCCAAGAGCAGAGAGAGGAGTTCAATGGGAAGACAGCAAAGGAGGAGAAATACCCAAAGAATTTCCCCTGGACCAAAGTGGTGCAGGGAGTTTGTGCCAGGTCCAGAGCGACCACGGTCCACACAAAGTAGAGTGGCGATACCAAAAGCAGGTTCAGGGCAGATCCAATGCTCCTCATCCTAGGTCTCTGGTCCTCTGGAACTCAAAGTAAATGTCAAGCAGGCGCCAGATCCTGGACATAACAGGGACCAGCTTAGAGGAAAAGTGAGAGTTTAAGAGGCTCTGGATCCGAAATCAAGCCAATCCTCCCATGTCTGGATTTGAGCTCCCTCCTGTGGCCATAAACAACACCTGGAAAAAAAGGGAAGGGGAGGGGAGGGGAAAGAAAGAGAAGAGATTTGGGATTTGTTTTTTTCTGGTGATGTTTTGGTTTTGTTTTTTCTTTCATTTATTAACCCTTTGCAAGGCTGAAAATGCATACAGCATCTCTGATCCCAGCACGTCTCTCACCGGGAGAAGATGCAGCCCCACATCACCATTCCCATGCTAGGTTTGGGGGTGTACCCATCCCTGGGATGTCCTAATGCACAGGAGGGGCTCAGCTGTGACTCACAGTGGGTGACAGCACTGCTTTCCCAGTGCCTTCTGCCCATGCAGAGCCCCTCTGCTGAGCTGAGGAGAGCCTTTGCAGCGATTTCTAACCATCTTCCCAAAACAAACAACATTGATCTCTGTTTTAGGAAGTTTCCACACCTCTCCATCCTAACAGAGTCAGAGTGCTGGTTCAAAGCAGACTTCAGGCTGCACCTGGGGAAGGTGGGCTGGAGGTTGGCTGGGCTCTGCCTCCTCTCTTCCTCCTGCCAGGCCTTAGGTTTTTGCTTCTTTCTGTCTCCCTTTTTCTCTCTCCCCCCTCCTCTTCCACCAAAAAGGTGCATGGGAAGGGAATTGTTCACTACCCCAACCCTGGTCTAACTCTGAGCCCAGACAGGAGGGCAGGACTGGAAGAAGCCATGTACCAGGTACAGGAGAAAAAAAAAAAAAAGGTGGGATGGAGAGAGATTTTAAGTCTTTACACATCACGCAGCCACCTTCTCTTGTATCCCTGTGAGCAGGACACCCCAAAGCCTGCAGTACCAGAGCTGGACACAGAGCATCTCCAGAGAGTGAGTCCTTCTTGTCACCCCCAAGACCTTCTTCACTCCCAAAGCCACTTCAACAAAAGTAATGTCCCTCTTGCATTGCCTGATGGAACCCACTCCCTGCAACCCTTTGTAGCCCAGATGTCCTCTTCAGCCCAGCCACCCAGACCCCTGTGTCTCTCACCGTGCTGAAGAGACTCCCACACCCTCTGCACTCTTCTAAGTCTCACTCTTTCTTTTCTTTTCATGAGGACCCTTCCTATACTCCCTTCTTGCTGTCTCCACTCTTTCCAGGGGAGGAGAAAGAGGGGGAATCACGGTCAGTAGCAGGACTCCCTTCAATTTGTACTCCCTCCCCATGCAGTGTGCACAAGGTGGGATGGAGAGAGATTTTAAGTCTTTACACATCATGCAACCACCCTGTCTTGCATCCCTCTGAGCAGGACACCCCAAAGCCTGCAGTACCACAGTCAGACACAGAGCATCTCCAGAGAGTGAGTCCTTCCTGTCACTCCCAAGACCTTCTTCATTCCCAAAGCCCCTTCAACAAAGGTAATATCCCTCTTGCATTGCCTGATGGAACACACTCCCTGCAACCCTTTGTAGCCCAGATGTCCTCTTCAGCCCAGCCACCCAGACCCCTGTGTCCCTCACCGTGCTGAAGAGACTCCCACACCCTCTGCACTCTTCTAAGTCTCCCTCTTTCTTACCCCACCATGAGGACCCTTCCTATACTCCCTTCTTGCTGTCTCCACTCTTTCCAGGGGAGGAGAAAGAGGGGGAATCATGGTCAGTAGCAGGACTCCCTTCAATTTGTACCCCCTCCCCATGGTGTGTGTACCCCATATTTGGGGAGGGGGTCTATTAACAGATGCCGAGGTCGACAAGCAGGAGGGGCAGACCCTCAGTGTGTGGGGCAGAGCTTCTCCCACTGCTGGGTTTAGAGACACAGCTGATTTTCCTTCTCACTTTTCCAGCCATTTCCTTTCCTGCCCTCTTTGCTCACCCCAGGTGGAGAAAATCAGGAGTTTGCCCTTGGATAAGGTTTGCCTACCCCACCATGAGGACCCTTCCTATACTCCCTTCTTGCTGTCTCCACTCTTTCCAGGGGAGGAGAAAGAGGGGGAATCATGGTCAGTAGCAGGACTCCCTTCAATTTGTACCCCCTCCCCATGGTGTGTGTACCCCATATTTGGGGAGGGGGTCTATTAACAGATGCTGAGGTCGACAAGCAGGAGGGGCAGACCCTCAGTGTGTGGGGCAGAGCTTCTCCCACTGCTGGGTTTAGAGACACAGCTGATTTTCCTTCTCACTTTTCCAGCCATTTCCTTTCCTGCCCTCTTTGCTCGACTCCCTTCAATTTGTACTCCCTCCCCATGCAGTGTGCACCCCCATATTTGGGGAGGGGGTCTATTAACAGATGCCGAGGTCGACAAGCAGGAGGGGCAGACCCTCAGTGTGTGGGGCAGAGCTTCTCCCACTGCTGGGTATAGAGACACAGCTCATTTTCCTTCTCACTTTTCCAGCCATTTCCTTTCCTGCTCTCTTGGCTCACCCTGGGTGGAGAAAATCAGGAGTTTGCCCTTGGGTGAGGTTTGCCTTGGCCTTGCAGCACTTGCTGCCTCCAAAACAAGGCTTTTTCAAAAGGATAGGTTGGACACTAATGTCAGATGATTGACTTGATTTCAGGAACCTTCGTGGTCTACAGGTTGGTGAAAAGCAAGTGCTCAAGGCTTCTGCACTGAAACCTGAGTACAAACAGCCCAGCTCCTGAGATGTTAACATTGTCCTGGGCAAAAGCAAGTGCTCAAGGCTTCTGCACTGAACAAGCAGCCCAGCTCCTGAGATGTTAACACTGTCCTGGGGTGCCACCCCAAATGATTCAGATCATCTGGGATGTGTTTTTCCGTGATCAGGGACCACGGTGGCATTGCCAGGAGGGAATTTGGGTGAAAGTCTATGAAGAACGGCACCTGCTGCAAGGCAGGGAAAACACATCTCCATTGCAACCATTGACTCCCCTCACAGTCCCATGGTGGCCACTCCGCTCATCCCCAGTCCCCCATATTTGGGGAGGGGGTCTATTAACAGATGCTGAGGTCGACAAGCAGGAGGGGCAGACCCTCAGTGTGTGGGGCAGAGCTTCTCCCACTGCTGGGTTTAGAGACACAGCTGATTTTCCTTCTCACTTTTCCAGCCATTTCCTTTCCTGCCCTCTTTGCTCACCCCAGGTGGAGAAAATCAGGAGTTTGCCCTTGGATAAGGTTTGCCTTGGCCTTGCAGCACTCACTGCCTCCAAAACAGGGCTTTTTCAAAAGGATAGGTTGGACACTAATGTCAGACTATTGACTTGATTTCAGGAACCTTCGTGGTCTACAGGTTGGTGAAAAGCAAGTGCTCAAGGCTTCTGCACTGAAACCTGAGTACAAACAGCCCAGCTCCTGAGATGTTAACATTGTCCTGGGCTGCCACCCCAAATGATTCAGATCATCTGGGATGTGTTTTTCCGTGATCAGGGACCACGGTGGCATTGCCAGGAGGGAATTTGGGTGAAAGTCTACGAAGAACAGCACCTGCTGCAAGGCAGTAAGGAAAGCAGATCTCCATTGCAACCATTGACTCCCCTCACAGTCCCATGGTGGCCGCTCTGCTCATCCCCAGTCCTGCCGTGTCCCATCACACCGCCAGGCTCTGCCTTCCCACCCTGCAAGCAGCGGAAGCTTTCACAGCAACCCTATGAATTCTCAGCAAATCTACAATTCAGGCAGCTAAATGCAATCCCAGGAGAGGCTGAAAAATAAGAGATGAAGCCCATAGACCATGCTGTGCATCTAGGAAGAGATAAGAAGCCAAATGCATGGCTAGATTCACCCCTTCCTTTCTATCCTTGCTTTATATCAAAGTTTTCTCTCTGCATCTCCTTTCTTCTGTGAGAGCCTTTTTTTTTTTCTTCTGGGAAGGAAAGGGTTAGAGAACTCAAAAGTCAGATCCACTATTTGCAAACCATGTTCCATCCAAGCTTCGAAATCACTGCAGCCTCTGCCAGCAGAGTCCTGAGTGTCTGTTAGACCTGACACTAATCAGCATGGAGTTCAAATGCATTTGCACTTAAATTTTTTAAAAGTCAGGTCCCTGCTCCTGACAGCACTTCGCAGCCTGCAAAGCTCCGCAGTGCAACTCTCCCCTGTGCCAGGCTCCTGCCTGCCTCGGGGTCCAGATTTTGGGAACCCAGCCTGCTTAGAGGATGCAAAGCAGCCTTTGCTTGCAAGGAAAACCACAGGTGTGGACCAAACGTCCTATAAATTTCCAGAGAGGTCATCCTGATTAGCAGGAGGGGTTGCCTGCAAATGACTGCCTGTGCTTTAAATACCAGCTGTGGTAAATGAAAGGTGCTCGTTTAGCTGAGACTCTGAAAAGGGTGGCTGGTTTGCGCCTGCAAATGACTGCCTGTGCTTTAAATACAAGCTGTGGTAAATGAAAGGTGCTTGTTTAGCTTAGACTCATGAAAGGGGTGGCTGGTTTGTCTCTCCCTTGCTGTAGAGCAGTGTCTGGGCTGTTTGCAAGTGGGCACGGCATTTTCCAAGCCAAAATCTACCCGACCTTCACACCGCTAGGGATCATCTGAACCTCTGGTCCAGTCCAGAAAGAAGAAACCTGCGTCTCCCGGTTGGAAGCAGGAGCCAGCAGTGCCTCCATAGCAACGAGATGATTAGGAGACAGGGTTTGCGCCGAGATCTGGTCCCTAACGGTGACTTCAGTGTGGGGGATTCAGCCCAAGCCTCCTGCCCTCCACAAACCTGATTTTTCTCACGCTGGCCACAACTCTGCTAGCAAATGAGGATGCAGAGAGCACAAAATGCAGCTCCCAACCCCCTCCCCTCACCGCCCCTCTCTGGGAAAAGCACCGTAAAAGCCAACAAACTTTAACTAAACAGACCCGTTAATGGGACGCTGTGTTACGGTTGTTAGGTCTCAGAATTGATTTCCCCTGAACGCAGTCCCATCTGGAAGGCTTTACCATAAGGGACATAAACATATTTTTTCGCCTTCAACTAATCCTTGCTGAAGTGGGAATCCTTACTTAGAGCAGAAGAAGTGAATAGACAAAACCCCCCTCTGCATCTGTATCTTTGGCTCAACATGTGTCAGACCTGGAGGGGAGGGAAGATGTGATGGGCAGCCGACTGGCTGCTGCATTTCAGCAGAGACATC